GACAGCCTCGTTGATTATAGTGTCAGAATTGTTTTTGAGGCTGTGGATAGCATTGTGTTCTGCACGGCTGCAGTTATGGGGCACATGATGTTGTTTGTTCACAATGTCAGCCTGTACATGCTTGCGGAAGCATCCAGTGTAGAGACTGTCATTTCGACCAGCAGAAGTCCATTGAATTCTTTTTCTTATAGTGTTGGTAGGAGGGATCCTGGGGGCCAGTGCAATGTTCAGTGGTGTGTTGGAAAGATTCCTTGATTAGGAGAGGGTAAAAATAGGCTTCCAAGTCACCATAGAACAATATCATGTGTGTGGAGTTGATGGGGCAGAAAGAGAGTCCTCAAGATTGGACAGACTCCTCAGCTGGGCTTTGTAGGTGGTTGGATAGGTTAAAAAAGGTTGTTGGGTGAGTTGAGGGTACCATAGTTGTAACCCCCTGTGGCTTGTAGGGGTTTAGATAGTTTATTGTCCTTTTTTTTTTAATAAGGAAATGAAGTGTACATTTTAAATGACTTGTCTTGTGTTTGTAAAGTCCAGTCATGTGGAAGTTTGTGTGGAAGTTTGGTTTATTATGAGAGTTTCCAGTTTTGAAAGCTCATTATTGATCTTCTCCTATTTGCTATATAGGTTGCTGATTAGGTGGTTCTTTAGTTTCTTTGAAAGTGTGTGGCACAATCTCTCACTATAGTTTGTGCAATATATTGATTGTAATGGATTTTTCACTTTCAGTCCACTGGGTATCATGTCCATCTGTTTGCACTTGGAGAGGAAGATTATATCTGTTTGTATCTGTGTGAATGTCGTCATGAAGTTGATGGATTTCCACTTCATACAGCTAATGCAGTGCCTTGCATGGTGAAAAGTCTTGGTGGAGTAGTCATGTTAGTCTGTATCTGCAATAGCAATGAGGAGTCCTGTGGCACCTTAGGGTACGTCTACACTAGCCCCTTAGATCAATCTAGGGAGGCTAATGAGAGTGTCCGGAATTGCAAATCAAGCCCGGTATTTATATATCCTGCGCTTGATTTGCATGTTCCCGGCCGGTCGCCATTTTAGAAATTGACTAGCCCGAAGTAACTGCCCGCGTCTATATGTGGCAGTGAAACGGGATTCCGATTTAAAGCCCTAACTCGAATTAGCTGATATTCCTCCTGCAATGAGGTTTACCAGCTAATTCGATTTAGGGGCTTTAAATCGGAATTCTGTTTCACTTCCGCGTGTAGACACGGGTAGTTAATTCGGGCTAGTCAATTTCTAAAATGGCGACCGACTGGGATTCGAATTAGGGGCTTTAAATCGGAATCCCGTTTCACTGCCGTGTGTAGACGCGGGCAGTTACTTTGGGCTAGTCAGTTTCTAAAATGGCAACCGGCTGGGAACATGCAAATGAAGCATGGGATATTTAAATCCCGGGCTTGATTTGCAATTCTGGTCGCCCTCATTAGCCTCCCTAGATCGATCTAGGGGGCTTGTGTAGACGTACCCTTAGAGATGAACAGATTTATTAGGGCATAAACTTTTATGGGTAAAACCCACTTCATCAGATGAATTGGAGTATAGTTTACAGAGACATGAGTATATATTGTGGCAAAGCTCTGGGCATGTGCTGTGGGTCTTGTGCTTCTAGGCAGTTATTGTATGCCTCAGAGGTTCGCTGTGACCGACCCCCCCCCACACACTGCCTCTTATCTTTTCTAGATGCCAGGGTCACAGTATACTGAGCCATCCTCATCACTGGCAAAGTCAAGGGTGAAGCCCCTCCATAATCCTGGCCTCCCTTTCTAGGAACAGACTTTTTTTAGTGGCATGGGGAGGGTTGGTGAAAACCCAGGGAGAGCCCACTACTCCAGGTTCTGGCCCAGGAACACTAGATAGCAGCAACTGTCAGGGTATTTCCCCTAACCCCAGTACAGCAACCCTTTCCCAGGACCACTTCAGCAAAAGCTCCTTTAGTACCTTCTCCCTGATACTTGAGCAAATCTTTCCGACTTTAGCTGAAATACTCTTTCCTCTTTGCATCCCCAGCTCTTGAACAACACACTTCCTCCTCTAAGCAAAATGCAGGACAATGTAGCACTTTAAAGACTAACAAGATGGTTTATTAGATGATGAGCTTTTGTGGGCCAGACCCACTTCCTCAGATCAAATAGGAGGAAGTGGGTCTGGCCCACGAAAGCTCATCATCTAATAAACCATCTTGTTAGTCTTTAAAGTGCTACATTGACCTGCATTTTGCTTCAGCTACCCCAGACTAACACGGCTACATTTCTATCACTATTCCTCCTCTAAGTCCTTCACTCTTCTCCTTCCCCCTCTCTTACCCGGAGGGAAACCTTTTAAAGAAGCCCAGCAGGCCTTAATTGGCTGCAGTTGCCTGTTTAGCCTGCTGCTTCATGCAAGCTCTTAACTCAGATGCCTACCTTGATTATGTGGCTGCACTCTCTGTCAGTTTATTCAAAAAACAGAATACCATTCAACCAGCTCCCAGTATCTCTACCCTCCACCAATCTATAGTAGCCAACTGCCCTGTGTCTGCCACAATATATAAGAAAAACTTATAAAACAACAGTCTGGTAGCACTTTAAAGACTAACAAAACATGTAGATGGTATCATGAGCCCACTTCTTCAGATGACCGACAATATATAAGGCCAACAAAAGAAAGAGGGCACTTGTGTAAATGAGGCTAATCAAGTCAGGGTGGAAGTGGCTTATTCACAGCAGTTGATATGGAAATGTGGGTATCAAGAGAGAGGAAATTGCCTATATAATGTGTTAACCAGTTAAGATCTTTATTGAATCTTAAGTTGATAGTATTGAATTTGCTAATTAATTCCTGTTCATCTGTCTCCTTTTGTAATCGGGTTTTGAAATTCTTTTGTAGAAGAATAGCTACAGGCAGTCCCCGACTTACGCGGATCCAACTTATGTCGGATCCGCACTTACGAACGGGGCTTTCTCGCCCTGGAGCTCGCAGGCAGCGGTCCGCCACCTCGACCTCCGGGGCGAGAAAAGCTGCTCCCGGTGTCCCTGGTCTGCTAGGGACCGTCTCCAGCAGACCAGGGGCACCAGGAGCAAAGCCGCAGCCACGGCGGGGTCCTGCGCTTCTGAGGCTTTGCTCTCGC